CTTTTTAACAAAGCGTTATCCATTTCGTGCTGTTAATTTGACAGATTTATTTCAGTATTATATACCAAATAATATTTTCATTGTAGGCATTCTATATTTAGTTGAAGATTTACGATTTCATAATACAGATCGGTTAATAACTGCTAAATATAATAAAATTGTGAAAAATTATAACAATAGTGATAGCGTTTTCTCACATCAACTTTTTCGCAATGATTAATGATTAAACTTATTAAATCTGGGATAATGAAAATCTACAACACTATTGCATCCACAAAAAGCCATTATATAGAAATATGAACGGCCTGTACTTTTTGAAAATCAAAAAAGTGCAGCAGAATTAAAATAAGACTATTGGCATTATCTAAGCTAGTAAAAACATTATAATAAAATATTCTTTAAATATTAAAAATTTTTGACAGTGTTATAGTAAACAGAATATCACAAAAGTTTTAAAACCCAATACAAGTTTAATACAAATATTTTGTACACCAAATTTTATTTTACTACCTATTACACTACCTATTAAAAGAATTGAATTGAACCACCAGCCAACGAAATCAGTGGCCCCGAATCCTTACTCACCTGATCTTTCCATGAAATATTTGGACGTTCTCTACCTGCGGGTACCGAATTATACACCTTTCTAGCAGAAGCACTTTCTTCCATTTCCACAACATGACCAAGCTAACGAAGCTAACGATGCGCTTAACTATGTCAATGTCACTGCATACTTCATAGAGCTTATCGTTCCATCTACTTCGATACTCGTTGCCAAAGCGTAAGGGATTATAGATCTTCCGAAGAATATTTCTCTCAAATACATCTAACGCCTTCTCATTACTATGGGTAGTTGTCTAAACTTTAGCACCATACAGCAAGACTGTCAGTGAAAAGAGACTTTTGAGTTTATTTGTAAACTTCTATACCAGACAGCAAGACAGGCATGAAAAAAGAGTTGTATAGCGTGGGTTTTGTTTGTTGAGAAAGGTTTTTATTTCTCAATTGCGTACTTATCCCGAAGTAACATCTGTTAATAGTTAGTAAAGCAAGAGTGATTCTTCGTTAAATCTCTGACGACTGACGACATTTTTGGTGTTTACACTGGTTCCAAAATAAATAAAGCCTTTAACAACAACGAACTTATCATTGTTAAGAGTAACATGTGTCCCATGATCTTCAGAAGATTTGTTTGCTAACAAAAATTACTTTATTACATCCTCATTTACCGTAAGACTAATTTGCTGCGCTTACTTTTTAAGTTGGAAAAAGATGCATTAACAGTGGGAGTATTTAAGCGAATAATATCAATATCGGCGGCATAAACTTTGTAGAATATTGTGTTAATGTAGTTTAAATCTGCTGCTCGGATTATCGTTTTTAATATTACGTTAAAATGGACACACAACTAGAAGTCACCCTATTTAAAATTTCGTTTGATGTCAAACGACTCGGAGAGGTTCTTCCCGATTCTAACGAAGCTGTCTATGCTCTTCAACGTCATTTGTATAAGTTTTGATGGTATACCAATTTCAGAACAGCGCTTCTAGTCGTAGTGTCGAAAGAGAATTTAAAGTCGGCTAAAATGTGATGTGGATCGATTTGTTTTTCTTGAGTCTTCTCTAAGATTGGACGCACTTTGAATGGATTTGCCAGGTCCGAAGCCAAACTGATAATATTCAATCAGTTGGTTGACGATTGTCTTCAATCTATTACATAGTATACTTAACACAACCTTATATGCAATATTCAAAAGACTGATTCCACCATAATTTGCAAGATCATCTTTTTTAAGAATGGAGCAAAGCACACTATGACATCCTAAAGAAAGTCTAAATCAAAAATTGTTAACTGTATTATTTGTAAGATTATTTTTACCCAATAAATTTTTGAATACGTATCCCTTTGAATGATTATAAAACATACTGGTTTTAAATGAAGTGTTAAATATTAATTTTTTCATGAGGTAGATGTTTTTATATTATATAATTAAACTACCGTATCAACAATGACTACACAATACTATATATAATTACGTTTACGTTTTGATTTTATACGCAAAGTGATACAACTGCGTACACTATAACAGTTTTCTCATTAATTATTCATATATAATTTTTTTATTTGAACAGAAAGTCAATTTAATGTAAATAATAATAATTAATATTTATACACTTTTTCAGCAGAAAAATTGTATAAAGAGATTTAGAAGTACCCTCAAGTCGCACAATTATCGGTGCGATGTATTGAAGACAGTATTAGTTAAGCATTTCGGAAATTCACATGAAAACTAAAAACTCGGTACAGAGAAAGATATTTTTTTTAGTTAAATAAAACGTATAAAAATAAATAAAAATGTTTGTGATTTAATGTAAAATTAATAATTTGATATAAAATTGCAAATTAAAAATTGCGTTGACATGGACATGTGCTAATGGACCTGTCACAATTTTTTTCCGCTTCAAAATTTGGTTAAATGAAATTTAAAACTTAAAAAAATCAAAATTTTTTAAATAAACAAAAGATTAGTTATTATAATATTACATACATAACTAAAAAATACTAAAAAGAAAATCCCTAGTTTACTTTGATGTGATTTCAATGCATTATTGCCATGAACTCCTGTAATACATAATGCAGCTTTATATACAGGGTTATCCATTTTGTGATTCGAAATGTAAACATCAACAACATTGATTGTAAATTTGATCAAATTTTTATTTTAATAATTTCTTTGCTCATTCAAATGTACTTCATAGGGCATGTTACAGTACTGGATACTTTTAGATAGGTTTCGATGACTTGTCAGCACATAGTTGACCATAACTTAATGGATGTTTGCTTTGAAAATGTCAAAAGTTTAAAAATTAATCATATAATAAGCATTTTAAATATCATCGTCAATGAGATCTTTGTAAAAACGTAAAATTATACACATTTCGCCTAACAGATCCCATTCAGGAAGTGCTGGTGTAACCACAGTTCGTTTGAGATCACAAATCTTTCAAAATTCATCTCTTTAATTTTATGCCAAAAAAACATTATTATGCGACTTCACCGATCATAAATTAACCTTGTATCATACCATACAGTGACTTTTTAAGGATGTATTTTGATGTAAAAAATCAAATCCAGTTTTGTAGTAAGTTCTACAATTTTTGCATATTAATTGGTTATTATTATAAAATGGCAAGCTTTACGCTATACTTATAATCTCTTAGACGGTAGTTTCGTAGGAAATATATTATTATATCATAATTAGTAAATCTGGACCATAAAATAGATAATCCTTTTTAAAAGTATCAATAAACTGTAATTTTTGAGCAATAATTAATAATAAATTTTAAAATTTAATATTATTAATATAAAATTAGCAAATGGCTAAAATTAGCAATTTAGCATCTGCACTAAGCAGCTTCTTTAAATCATTCATTCTACTGCAATAAAACGTAGTGTTGGACTTTCAGTATTATAATACTAGTTCTATCGTAATTGAAACACTAGAATGCAGTGATGTATTTATGGGAGATCAACGAATAGACCCTCTCTCTCTTTGACAATATAATATACATATATTTCAAAAATACAGCAAGAAGAAATATAATCAATCTTGTCTACGTCACTTCTAGAATATATATGAATTTCGCTGAAAGATTTCAGTTTTCTACACAGAACACCTCAACAACTGTTGAATTGTTATAAGAAGAATTAATTATCACTTCAGTCGTGAAATATTGAAAAATTTTAAATATGTTAATGCATATTGATACAAAAAACTTTTTATTAGTCTGTAATTAACTATTTTGCTGAATTCTAATCAAATTAAATTTTTTTCTATCTTAACAATGTGAAAAATTATAAAATGATTATAATGCTGTACTATTTATTAAATGCATATAATCGCTTCTATTTTAAAACAATTAAAAAAATCACAGTAAAGTCGAGTTGCTTATACACACAATAACTTAAACTTTATATAGCCATAATCGCAATCAGATAAAATCAACATAAATAATTTTAAACAATAATAATAATAATTAATCAAGCTAATAATAACACAAACCATGGCAAACAGTAGTTCCAACAAATCAACAGAACGGAGAACATCAGTTTTGCCTATAGAAAAAACATGCATAACTTCTCAGGAGAAGTCAACACCTTTACCGGATAGAGACAATCTCCAGACAATAAATGAAAAGTTTGTATAGAAGAATCTAAAAAGTAATTTATTGTACATATAATTAATTTATATTACTAATAAACAATTAAACAAAATATTTAATTTTAATTAAAAACAATATTATCTACAGCACTAACAGCAGATTGAATTATATGCTCACTTGTATAAAATGTCACTCATACGCAATGGTGGCCGCACAATTCGTTGTTATTACTTTTATTTTTCAACATCTATACAATCACATAATATCAAATTTATTGTATTGGCAATATAATTGACTGAGACTGTTTAATTTGATCTCTATTTCATTGCTGAAATATTAAAAATATATTACTTATACTTAAAAAAAACTTCAATAATCAGTTCTAAGGAATCAAACAAATTAATCTAAGTCAAATTCTCAATCTAATATGAGATTCGAACTCGAATTTGATGTTCTTCCAAGCACCTATTTAAAAATTTTTTTAACTACTATTATCCAAAATACTCATTGAGATACCCCGTAAAGATATCAGTTTTTTGGTAGGTTTACTTAAGGTCACTGTAAACTAAGGAACCATTCTAGAAGATTAGGTCTCCCTTTCAATCAAATCTGTCGCACCTGTTGGAAAGACGAGGAGAATGCCTTTCATCTATGTTTTTGCCCAGTTCATGCACGGCGACGATTCAATACTTTAGGAACCCCGTTTCTTGAGGATCTTGACCAATTACAGGACCTGACACTAAATAGCACTTTAGGCTTCACTTAAGGGTTCTAGGTGGTTTAATATAGTTTTTTTCTATATATATGATACAATGGGCCAATAGACCTAAGTGGATCCACTAGGGATCGCCGATATCACCTAACCTAACCTATTATAAACTTTTAACAATGAAAATGCAATTCCTTAGTTTTAGTGTAGTTTTAATTTTAGCGGTATATGGCTGTCGTTTAGACCGTATGAACTTAACCCGGTTTTCAAAACGTTGTTGAATGAATTTCAAAAATCTGATTTAACGTTTAAAAACTTTGACATGTAAACAGTTTTCAATCATCAAAATTTGCTGTGCGATAACTTGATTGATAACACAACAGACTCTATTTGGAATATTATTAACAATAATAAATATATTACTTAGATTCTAGTTACTTTTCAGGAACAATTTGTACCCAATGAGAGCAACTGTTTTGAACACTAACATTATTTTAAAGTAATTTTAGCAATTTTTACTTACAATCATTTTAGGTTTAATTTATGCAAAATAGATATAATATGCAAAACCCCTATAGAATTCTAGTTTGGATGGATTTGGATTTGAACTGAGCTTACTTACTTCATTATTGATAAAAAAAATTCTGAGATTTTTATAAAGTTCGTTACAATATTTCAATGTTTGAGTTGAACAGCGAAGTTCCCCAAAGTTGAATACAAAATATCTAAATGGGCCTTAAAGTAACTTTGTATAGCCTAACTTATCTTCTAAGCTGAGTTGCGATTTTTTCTCCATTAGGCATGCGTGATCATTACTGCGATGTAAAATTATTTTTATTTTACTTTTATATGTGTTTTTCACTCTAGTCTACAATCTAAATAAATTACGAGGTATTTGATATTGATATATATAATTGATATATATATATAATAATATATACTATATATACTATAATCATATATTATAATATATATATATATATCATATATCTATCTATATATCAATCTGAAACAAAGATACAAAGATATATGTATTTCACAAAGTGAAAATGTTATACGCACTTTTCAGGATTAACTTTTACTTTACTTTTATTAAACCGTCTCTCAATATCTTGTACTTCGTTTTGAATAGATGACGATGTAGCTTGAGGTGAATCATTAGCAGCAACTCCTGCTGTCTGTAAAGTTGCTACTTTAACTAAGCTAAAATACTAAGCATATCAGTTATAAATATAGTACGCAATCTTGATGAAAGCATTTTGTAAAGTTCCTTACAAAAAACTGTCAGAGAGGTGATCGGGCAGTATAAATATAGAGCACGTTCAAGATTATCTGGTTTATTTGTTTGGAACAGTCTAGTTTAAGCACGTCATTACAAATTAGTCCCTGAAAGGATATTCATTTCGGACAGATTTTTTATTAACCGAACGAAGATTTTATCACAATCTTAAAATTTTATTATTTTGAGTCTGTATATTTATGTATTTACTCATCATTAATTTTCTGAATTAATGAGATCACCTGACTTGAAGTGTCCAGGAATTTAAAAAGATTTTCAGAATTAAGAAGTTTTGTTTTTCTCATTATTTAATTATATTTATTGATTTTATAATTTTATACAAAACTTATTAATATGAAAAATTTCAAACTACTTTTTACAGACGATTTAGAAGTTATATTCATCTGCTTAAAAATAAAGCCACAAGGAAAATTAAAAAACACATAGCATTCATTAATAGATTACTTTGTTTTTTTACTAATTTTTTATACTAATATCCGTAATAGTATTAGTAAACTCGATATACTTCCTACCTATCGTACCCACATATTGATATGAAATAGGATACTAATCCTTTCTCTTTTATTTCAGCACAGTTGAAAAAAATACAACCAAAGTCTCAAATGAGAAACAGTTTTCATATTTTCAATTAGTAAGTATTAAATAAATAATATTATATGTTATTCCAAGTCTACAAGTATATATAACAGTTTCTATATATATTAAAATATAATAACGTACTGACTAAAAAAAGCGATCTTTGCTTCGAAAATTTTTATAAAAGGGCTATTGCTAAGTGTGAGTTTAGCAAGATTTATTCGACAACCGAAGAGAAGCCAAAAAAAAAATATGAGTTTAGCAATATACAGATATAGGTTTCTTACTAATTTGATTTATGGGATATGTTTCTTTCTAATATATTTATTAAAAATAAGTTGAACTACTTTATTCCCTTATGATTGTGTATACAGAGTACAAATCGTAACGTGCGGCATGTTGCTAGAGAATTTATGACAACCACAAACAATCTGTGGTTGTTATCTATCTGTATAAACCAAGGTCTAAGTTCCTTCTATAAACATATCTTCAAAGCTTTCAGTTATAATACGAAAAGTAAATATTAAATATTTTACAAATTATTGGTTTCTTTATGCAAACGATTACTGATTTTTTAAATATTAATAAGTATCCATAAATAAATAAAATAAAAAGCACTGATCTCAACTTTTCAACCACAAATCATTCTTTGAAATAACATTAAAACGTCCTTTCCCAAATTTACCAAACTTCCCTTTCAAAATAAGGCATATCTCTGGGATATTTTAAAAATTGATCATTTTAATAAATATTTGAAAAATTCCTCCCTTTAAGCAAAGAGGATGAGAGTTTGAAAAAAGCTGCACAAGGTAAAATGTTGAATATGTAATCAAATTAAATTCACATGTAATGCTAATTACTGAAAATAAAAAAGTTGTTAACACCTTAAAGTCTCTATTTTTGAACTTTACTTTTTTGGCAATTTTGCCAGAAAACTAACCGAAAAACGCATTGCAGACCTCAAATTGATCTATAAATGATAAAACATCAAAATGAATTTATTGTCGAACAAAGCTAAAACAGAAAACCTGTGCTTTTGTTTAATTTAATACATTTTCATATATTTGCAATTAGCTATTTATAAATTATTTAACTAATTTAATAAAAAAACGCTTAATGTAAGTACACTTTTTATTTACTTATTAAATTTTACTTATTTAATCAGTTTAAGTATTCCACGACTTTCGAACGTTTCTTGGTAGCTGCCGGCATAATATTCGCTTCGTTAGCTTCAGTATGCATAACATATTCTATAATAATATATGCAGAATTTGCATCATTACTAATAGATCGTTCAGTCGGAATTGGTACTTCCTCGCCTGCCACGATTTTGCAGCTTTTTGGAGGCGGTACTAAACTGTAAGTTATCAAGTTACTACACAAAAATATTTATTAAAATACTTGTATATTTCAAAAAAAATGCTTGTGCCATTTTTAGAACAAACACCTCTAGAGAAGAAAATCTACAGGCTATTAGAGATGATGCTTTAGCAT